TCCTTCAGCTTGAAATAAGTCTTGAAAATGGTGCACCTATCAAGTTCTGCAGGATTAGCTCTTCAGGTGCATCTCGGACACCTGGCTGGTTTTCACACAGCCAACACGTCTAATTGCATCCTTTGTCTATTCCTGGCAGAAGTAAAATGACAGAGAAAAGTGCTCAGTCAGGTCTCCAAGTGTTTTGAGATCAGGATTCACAGTCACACACCATACAGAAAGCGTTTACACATCTGTGAGTTTCCAAAAAAGATTTGAACTGTACCAGCCCTCACAGACCACATGAATTCCTGACCGTGGAACAAAATACCTAATCCAAACCAGAAGTTTCTTTCACAAGACCGGATTTCTTTTTTGATGTTCTGACTATTTTGGGATGGCCTGGTCAGAGATCAGAGCCTTTTGTCACAGTTACAGGGAGTTTCCTGCACCTTCTCCCTCTTCTAGAAAGACTTTGTATGTAGGATTAGTGTCTTTTCTTTTTTTACAGGCCTCTTTTATTTGACATGTACCTATTCAATTGGACTGAAGTCATCACTGTATTGCCTGCCTGTGTGAATCAAACAAAAAAGGATGTCCCACTGGTTCTTTACATGACGAGCAACCCACAGCTCACTAGAATAACATGGTCACAGAAAACTAGCTCACAATTTCAAGGCAGGGCAAACAATTCACCCTCTTTGCACTGCCTTGATAAAATATTCCACAGGCATTTAGAGTCTTCTGTAATTAAACGTTTGTCTGTCTGTATGTACACCACAACTCCCCGTGAGCAGCCTCCCCACGCCTCCCACTGCATGTTTGTATACTGGAACAATAGGGTGGGTGCAACCTTTGTTTGTGACTGTACAACCATGCAGACATCCAATCAAGTGTCCAGTGCTGAATCTCTCCCACACTGCATCAAACTCCTCTTTACTTCCCACAGTGCATCAAAGTTAGAGAGATCTCTTAAAGATAAATACTGCACTGTCGTGTTGGCAGATCGCTGTCATTATGCTCTGAAAATCACAGCTTTTCAATCACACAACTTTACGGCTTTGTAAGTTCTCATCTGATCACAGAATATTTAAAGCAGCTCCACTATTCAGTCCACTACCACAGCAACCCGAAATGATCCAAACAGTAACGGTTCACATGGCCCCAAGCATGCGAGGCAAACAAAACAGGAGAGGATAAGAGGATGAGTAATGTTTATAGTGCGCCCTATTCCTATTAGTGCGGTGAACCAGCTGCTCCTCCGCTCAGCCTCGCCTGATGAAAACCACATGTTGAATGGAGGGTGAAGCCTCATCATCCCCGCACCTGAGACACACTGACCACAGGCCTCTTCTTCCTCTACCATCGCACACTGCACACATATTCCAGACAGCCAGCAGGATGAAGGAAGCGGTTTGGCATGGCCACCAAATGCCATTTATGTTCCTGTCTGCCTCAGGTTCAGCCCAGATTGAACATTCTTTGTGAGGAATGTTTGGAATCCTGATTTGGAAAGAAAATCCTTTCTGAGTCTCCCTCAGTTAAATAAACATCACAGAATTGTATATTACACCTGGTGGTAATAGTTAAAGACACAAGCACAAGTAAAGGTCCTTATAGAGTTAGAAGGTTTTGCTCAAGGACATTTTAGCATGGTTAATATTTAATACTTTATTAAAACTATTGATTATGCTCACCATTTGTACCAGCTTAAAGGTTTTGTATAGATTCATTCTGTATTTAATTGTTGCTTTAATGGCGGCCAGTCCATCAAACATATAAAAATATACATGACAAAACTCCCTTCACTATATACCACCAGTACAGCCATACTGTATTTCTTAACTGCTGCTTGAGAAGCCCTTCCCCCTCTGTTCACAGCAGTGAAGCAGCACCAACAGCAGACCCAAGTGCAAGCATCCTTCTAACACAGCTGTGGTAATTAGAAAGACCACTCAACCATAGGTTAAACTGAAGTCATGTTGTAGCCACTTTAAAAGGAGCTGAGGTTAAGGTTCACAGCGGCTTCCTTGAGCTCTTTTCCAAAACACTGAGTCTGTCATGAAGGTGGAGGTGGTTGCACATAATGTGACATGAGTGTTTCTTCATAAGATGGAGAAGAAACTATGCACTCTTCAGAATTAGTCATGTCAGGTTTAGTCAGCAGCCGTTTCAGTCAGTGACTATTTTCTTTCTGGTGCTGGTGAATCAACTGTTTCAGTTTATATGAGCAATGATCTACATCATGTTGACAAAGGTACAAAAGAAGTCATTCTGTCTGTTCTTTCACACTGTGACAAATGTGGACTGACAAATGTGGACTTATAGTCTATACATAGATTGTGCTATGTGTGGCTTTATTGGGATTTCATCCCAACCTGAGTTGGGCATACAGGGGGGCATACAGCAAACCTTTGTAAGGTGTACTGAAAGCCATCTTTCATAAGGCTTAATTGGGAAACATTTAGACTCAGTTAACTTGTCATACAACCTGATCCTGTCTACATCCTGCATCTGCCTGCAGCCAATCAGGTGATAAAAGAAAAGCTACACTAAACAAAAGGCTGATATAGTATGACAACAGAATGGAGCAAACAAAAAGAAAATCAAGCTGTAAACCAGTGCCCTTACTCAAAGAAACAGACAGAGTTATTTAGAAAGTTTGAAAACTGATGTAATTTATATAGGGGGTGTTTATTCTTACCAAGAAGGGCTTGGAACAGCTGGCTGCCCAAGATGGCGGACACTTTGCCCACACTGGTCTTCAAGGCCTGCTCCTCCGGGCTGGTCAGGTTGGCCTGGTACTGTCTGAGCAGCCCCACTGCTCGCTCTGTGTCTACCTCGCAAAATAAATAGGAGTCTCAGATCAACAGCAGCATGTTGACATTTTTATAAACTGGGATTAAAATGAGTGTACCTTGCCTGCCTTGCTCATAGGCCAACTAATATATAGGGGAGGAATATGAAAATATGACTAAGGCTAAACTAATCATTTGGTCTATAAAATGTCAGAAAATAGTGATAAATGGCAAATGCAACTTCCTGGAGCTCTTGGTGGCACTTTTAAATAAGTTTGTGTTTAGCTAACAGTCCAAAGGTATTCAAGATATTCTATAACAGAGTACTAGATGAAAAGAAAATCACATTTAAGAAGTTGGAAGCAGAGAATTTCACCCGTTTTTGCATCGATTCATACTGTGGTTGCTGCTTTCCTATCATTATGATAATTAATTATTCATTTTAGTTATAAAATCTATTGACAAAAATAGTTTCAAACAATAATCTAATGCAGCTCTGAAAAGAATAAATGCATCACTGAAGGTAAAGTACCAGTGTAAGAGAAGAATGGGCTTATGAGATTTTATACAATAATAATGATCTGTATTTGTCTTATAGCCACATGCAACTCTGTCCGTTATATTCTCCTGCAGAGAACATTAAATGCATTATTCTCTTGCAACACGACTGTACAGCTGGTTGCTGAACCCTGTGGGTGGTGATGAGCACAGCAGAGATGATGCACATCACGGAGGTAAATCCAATACTTCACAGTTTCCTACCTGATCCTAAACATTTTGACCGAAAAAAAAAAAACCCATCTCAAAACAGTAAAAACAGCCCGGAAGTTTAACAGTTTCCAGTTACAGTATTTCACCCTTTTCATCCCGTAAGTGTAAAAACATTAGTGTTTCATAAGAAATTATAAGCGAGGCTAGTGGGTCTGTGAAAAGTCGTACATAAAGTTTAGTGGATAAATGAGCTGGCTATAAACTTTAACAGAGATTTAGGCTACTACACAACTTTCACATTTGAGGGAAATGACGACGTAACGGTACATTTAACGGTACTTACCATATTTATGCACCATGATGTTGCCCACTCGAAAAGTGGGGTTAGAAGAAAGTTATGACAGCGTTAGTCCCGGATTATTATACAACCACAACCATCGCTCCTTCTTCACAAATAAGTGAGATGTTGTGTTTTAAATCCAGCTGCTGGGCACGTCTGCCTCAAGTGTTACAGTCAGCAGTGTGGTCCACACCCACAGACTGAGGGTCAGATGTGACAGGAGGGTTTACTTCCTGACAACTTTTCAGGAGTTTTGGGAAAACGGTCCCAGGGTGACATGTTCCTCCTCCCCCTCACACGACTTGCCTTCATAGAAAACAACCCTTTAGCTGAGCCACATATTACAGGGCACTGTAGTACCACTATTAACATATTTAAACTATGCCACCTGCAGTTAGCTTTGATTATCATCCGTTGGCATCAGTTTGTTAGTGAAACTATACCTTGTCCATGGTTCAGTATTTCTCTGATCAGAATCTTGTCGCCGATTTACCATCTCTTGCGTCGTGCGCCATCTTGTGGTGAGTTTAGGTGTTCCTGGGACTCAATCGACTTTAAATCAGTCTGTTTAGTTGCAACCATTGACTGTATCGTTACTACTGTGTATGTAGAACAAACCAATACCCTTTGTGGCTCCAGCTGGAGCTGGGCGATGTCTGAAAAACTTTATCAGATGAGTCAGCGACGGTTGGGGCTGAAGCCTTCAAGTTTGCAAACGAATAAAGGCTGGAGTGTGGAGTTAGAGAGAAACGAACTTACCAGACCTCTGTAGCCCACTCTGCCTGCGACTAACGGCTGGAGGCTAGGCGAGCAAACTCCGACCCAACCGTCACTGGGCGAGTTGCATTATGGGTACTGTAGGCGTCAGGTTTTCACAAGAACGGATGCATTATATTTTATATGCCCATTACAGGTTTTTAAAAATTTCCTTCTGCAAAGTTGCTGCCATATAAATGTAATGGAGTAAAAAGTACAACATTTATTTTTGAAATGTAGTGTATTTAAAGTTATACACAAATAGGCTATAAAATTTTAAAAACCAAGAAAAAGTCAAGCAGCCTACCTCAAGACTGTGCTTAAGTACATGTACTTTCTATCACTGTAATGCCTTTAAATCAAGATAACCCATTATAAAATATGCAAGCACATACATGAATTTCAAAAACAGCATAACTGTTTATGAAGATTATAATATCAAAAATCCACAATGGCAGTTCATACAGTAGACCTACAGGGTTATACAGAACTATCAGGACATTGTACAAAATAGGTTTGGTACTTTTGGCTCAGATTATGCTACACAGATATCTTACGTGCAGTGGTGTCACCATGGGGATAAAAAAAAAAAGTTTCTGAACACAATGAAATAGCAACAACAGAGGGGAAAAAAAAAAACCCACAATGATGACATAAAATGCCAAGAGGCAATTCTGTGTGTGAATCTACGATGCACTCTGCAGTGATATAATCAGAGGAACGCTTCACATTTTCAATAGCAAAAGAAAACGATAAACCTAGTTAACCAACTACACTTGTACAGAAACAAATACCTAAAACTGCTATCCAGTGGCATTATGCTGATATTTGATTCACATCTTATAACATCAGTTCAGAATGCATTGTACATCAGTTCACATCAACTCGCTTTTCTCCTGGCTCAGAGCCAAACCATTCCAGTGACGCAGACAAGGATGCATGTCAGTTTTGGAGTTGAAATGTCTGTTGCTGGAGTCAGTCAACCTACCTAGTAGGTAAGAAGGGAGACAGTTCTTTCTCGTTCCAAGCTGAAATATTGTCTCTTCGTTTTTCTGACCCTGTTAAAAACAGTTGAGAAGAGAAATGAAGGGACCCATCTCAGTAAAAAAAAAAAAAAAAAGAAAAAAGTTGGTACCATTATTTAATAAAAGGCAGCATGTGTAGATGTTTGTTTTATTTGTACTTAAATAATTCCTTAATGAATTTTAGGTCAACTAAAACTATCAATTAGAACAATGTTTGGATTGCCAGGGTGTGAACAATTCCTATTAATACATTACTGTAAAAGATTTTTCCATCCATCAAGTCTGTAGACAGATACTTTAGTGATCCTGAGGGAAATTCAGGTATCCAGTAGCAACAGCAATGATAACCAGAGTCACAGCACCCAAAGAAAAGAAATGTATAAAAGTGTAAGACTAAAATACAGAAAAGTATAAAGAAAAAAAAAAAGATAGGTAAGTTTTAAGTGGTAAAAATCTGTTAATAAGAGGTGATCAAAAATGTTGGCTTTTCGAACCGGGCAACCCAAAATCTTTTATTTACAGGCTTGTATTGTTTACTGGCAACAATAATTTTGTCACTGTAGTTATATTATACAGTTATAAATTTAGTGTGAACCCCAAGTGATAAACAGAACTACAAAAAAAAAAAAAAAAAAAATTAATAGGCAACTACAGACAGGTGACAAACTCGAGGAAACTTCTGAATAAATTAGCGGTCTCCTCCAGAATGAAAATTCCCCCACCCACAGGGCATGAGGGTCACTAATGGTTTGATTGGTATGAAAATGATGTGAATCAGATGCTGTGGCTTTCACAGTCACCAGATCTCAACCCAACTGAACACCTATGGGAGATTTTGGAGCGGCGTGTCTCCACCACCATTATCCGAACACTAGATGAGGGAATATCTTTTGGAAGAATGGTGTTCATCCCTCCAGTAGAGTCCAGAGACTTGCAGAGTCAATCCCATAGTGCGCTGGAGCAGGTGTGCTGGCACATGGAGGCCCAACACCTTAGTAAGACACTTCATGTTGGGGTTTTCTTTCATTTGTCACCTGTCTGTTTATTTGAAGATACGTGACCTGTTACTTGGAACACTGTGCAGCACCCAAAGGCTAACCATCTATACTTCGGTAGGTAGGTAGTTGTTTTAGTATCATTATTGTCAGTATGTTAACTTGAGCTCAGACAATTAGTCAGTTAAGGTAGTTGATCAAAACAATAAATAATCTGCACTTATTTTTATATTTAGTTCATCACTCAAGCCTTTTTTTTTAGGCAATAAGGCCAAACATTGCCCCAGCCCATATTTGCTGCAAATTTAAAGATCTCACTTAGGGCTTTTTTGAAATTCAGAGGCATTTTATAGACTTAATGATTAATCCTGAAAATAATTTGCAGTCATTAGTTGTTAGTTAACATTAAAATGTAACAGTACCTTTTCTGTGATATAACCTGTGTGTTTTCCAGGGAGACACAGTGAGGTGGATGAGTCAGTCTATTCACTTTCACAGACATTTTTATATAACCGACAAACACCTGCTCAGCTTACCACAGAAAGAGTCCAGTCATTATCAGAATAGATGCGGCGTCCGCTAACATCCATGTTATTTTGTATGTATGCGGTGTCTGAAACACACAAACATGACAATTAAGGCATGACATACTCGCACAAACCTGTCAGCTTCGAAACAAATGTTTCAGTTGATGGTGCTGTGCTCACCATGACCCAGTCAGGCCAGTCCGTGTCTTTTAGGAGGTGGCATGAATTTGTGGTAACTGAGCTGGCCCCTGCACACCACATCAGAGAAAACAGCCAGCGCTCATTAACCACCCACAGGTTCACTGTAACATTCCTCCTCCGAAGTTCCCTGTCAGATACAAACACAACACAGATCTTTGTTCATGTATTATATTGTACATGAAAAGAAAAATAGTGCATACAATTAAAAGATGGGGATATTTTGAAAGCAGAAAACATGACTATGCAAATATGTACAGAGTCTAAATGGTATGTTTGTAGTTGTATTTAAGTGTGTATAAATGTACATAGCACACTCCTACGTCTTTTCTTTGTTTAAATACCAAAGAATTGCACAATAACAGGAGTTGCCTGCATGTAAAGTCAGGGACAAAGACACAACCTGTCGTCACAAGCATCATGATCTCTGACATTAACCTCTAGAGTCCTGAGCTTTGGAAACCCAAGCTGTGCGGTCCTCATATGAGGACGCAGGGACTCTAGAGGTTAATACTGCCCACAGTTTTACTGAACAAATGCATGGGATCAGTTGTGTAAATTTGCTGTATAAATAGTGTTTATTTGTGCTGCCCACTCACAAGTTTGACTAGGAGACGTGTTGAAAGCCTGTGTCATAAATCTCAAACAGTCCATGTACAGCGACTTCATTTAGAACTTCATCAAAACATGCTGCTACACTGCGTTTCATTCTTTAGTGTGTTTTTATAGTTGGCTTGCTTATCCATTTAACAACACTCCCAGGCTGGGACGTTACTGGAATGTCATCCCCTGAAGGCCGATCCTGTGCTTCTATGTTCATTGTCTGCACTGTGTCTCAGCATGCTACATAAATCCCTTTAATAAGCACACTACTGTGCATGCTCCAGGGCACCAGCACATAGAGAGCAAGGGTGTATTTTGTTTCAAATTTATTTTTTACCTGATTTTTCCTGTACCTAACTTGCTGTATTTCATATTCAGGTGGTTTCCTTCTTCATTTAACATATCAGCTTCATTGTCATAGAACTGGATGAAACCCGGAGCAGTCGAGTTCACATATTGCCTTTCTGCTGGAGGAAGCCAGAGGATCTATACAAAGGAAAATATGACACCTTAACAAAATGTGCCCCATGTCAGTCAAGTTCCACCAGCTGGATTATCATTAGACCTACCAGGCTCGAGTCAATACCAGAACTCAGGATGGTGTTGACTATGTCCACTGTGTCATTTTTCTGGTTGGAACTATACAGATCAAATATCACAGAGATGTTGTGCTGCTTGGCGAGGTTGAGGAGCTGAAGTAAAGAGGGTATAGTCTGGTTCCTGGCTGTCTCCTTCTCTTCTTCCGAGAGCTGGGACACTGAACGGAAAGGATCTGTCTGGATAGTCCAATAACTGTTTCAGTAACAGTAGCATGCTTTATGAACACGTGTGTGGACAAGCATGTATCAAAGCAAAGCCCTCACCTTTATAAACCATTCACCTGCATTCAGGCTCTGTAGCTCCTCCCAGGTTAGGTTGGCGCTGTTGTTGAAGTGTCCATCAGGAAACATCTTTTTGACATTTGTCGTTCTCAACAAGAACTCAGACTTATTGTCATGCATCAGGAAGGGAATTCTGTCTTTACTAGATTAGAGAAATGGTAAAAATTAGTACATGTAAACAACAACACAAATTTAAAGGTACCCTAAGAAATAGATGACCTTGTTGACCTGTGGACAACTAGGACAAACTGCCTGAGCACTGAGAGGATAACACCAGGCAAAGTCACTGAGACTGACTGATGATCTGCTAAATCCCTCTGACAAATAGCGATTGAACACTCATAGCTTAGCAACCATAACTGGCCTGTCAAGCCTTGGATTTCTCCACATGTCCAAGTGCACAAGGATCCCCAGTAAAAGTGATGCTTGGTATCCAGAGAGTTTGATAGACAAAGGTCTTTCACCATGATGTACTGTATGTACTCTCCAAGCACATATTTAGGCTCCTCATTTCCAAACAAGTCAGCTGTATATGGTGTTTTAAAGCAACCTAATTGATAGGGATAGTGCTAATTGAATGCAATGGGGCTGTAGAAACCACATGTATAATCACTTTAAAATAAGTTATATATATATTCATATTTAAATATGAACCCAGTTTTCACCATACCTGAGCTGTACATCCGTCTCAAAGGCTGTCACACCGCATGCAACGCTCCTGTTGAATGACATCATGGTGTTCTCTGGGGCCAGCTGAACACAGTGATGACAGATGTGTGAGACGCACTTGTGTGCTTAACTCTCAAACTACCATGAAGCTGTGTGAAGGCACATAACCCTATACCCAGTGTTAAATTGAGCATATCAATGACCCAGGAGAGAAGCAAACCAACAAGGACAGAGCAGCACACCATATGGGGCCTTTGCACTACTGGACATTTGTTCACACCTGAGCCAGTGGGAGAATATTTGTTGTAATGTGAACACATGAACATGCAAAAGAATTTAACATATTACAAAAGTAAACAAACTACATTGTATAAACTGCTCTGAATGATGTGAAATTTTGATTCAGTATATACAAGATTAGTCTTTTTTTTAAATATATTTCAGTATGACTTAGAAATAGGAATAGTTGTATAGGGAAATGCAGCTTAGTAACGTTCATGCCAAGAGTTGGACAAGGAGACTGGCACTGAAGTGTAAGTGACAAAGTGTGTTTCTACAGGGGATTAAGTACATGACAATTTCTTGATGCCGAATTATCCAAATGATCATTAAATGACCCTCCTTTGACTAAATATACTACCAGCTTTAATAACCTCAATCATGAGCACTAGTAGAAACTGACCCTGAGAATCATTAGGGTGTTGTCAAGTAAAAACAGGATGCTCACCATCGGTGCACCTCTGTGACCAATGAGCTTTGGTTTTTCAGGTAATTCATCCAGCTCTATCAAACAAGGAGACCAGATGAGCAGGGGACACAGGAAGATGGCTGCTGACACGGCTATAAAGGCCACTGCAATAAGGCGCCGAGACCCTGGTGAGAACAAAAGTCACATAACACAACACTCCTCTTTATCTACAGTACTACAGATGTCCCTTCAGAAGTCTGAGCAAATAATGAGGATTATTTGTACTGTGGGAGTGAGTTTATCCTGCTTTTCAAAACACTCTTTTGTATGTGTTTTTCCTTTGCAGGAATTGAAACATGAATATCTCTGTACATACTTTTATGCAGCATGTCAATTCTTGACTGTACAAGTCTTTTGATTGTTTCATGAAAATAGAATGTTATGTTAATTAGAGATAGGGACACAGCTCATTCCTGTAATCACTGAACATTTGCACAGGAGACACAAACTCTAGTGTGTTATACTTTGCCATTATGTTCTTTTAATTTTATTCTTATTTATCTGTGGTCTTTATTCATCAGTCACCCGTCCACCTATTGTACCATCTCTCTGGGATGAAGATGGTTCATTTTTATCTTTTAGCAGCTGTTTTTTGATCAAAGCCAAATTAACCACATTTTCAAAATTGACAAGACCAGTTTCGTTGCAAGGCAGTGAGGATATTTATGTCTGCGTCTGTACATGCTGTTGTTGCCTGTGTGTACTCTGCAATGATGCCTGACACGTACCTTGTTTGGCCTTGTGGAATCTTTGGAAGACAAAAGGGCTCAGCAGCGTCAAGGCTCCAACAGCACCAAACTGCAAGAAAGGAGCAGTGGCCTGCCAAGAGTCCAACACTCACATTAGAAACATGTGATGTACACAGACAGCTTAGACCCATGTAAATAAACCAGCCATTTACACTGTTGTTATCATCGCCCCACACAGTCCTCAACCCTCGGTGTGAGATGCTTACTGTACCTGGAGTGACAGAGGAACAATCGGCCACTCTTGTTGCCACCCGAGGCTAATTCCTGTGACCCCGGAAGCAATGAATATCACACCAAAAAACAAAAAGATCTGTGCAGACAAAAAGCAAATATGACATTGGGCAATTTGAACATCCACAATCAATGATTGTAAAAAGCTGGACAGCTAAATGTTTGCAGTACCTTGTGCAGCCAGTGTAAGTGGAGTTGTTCTCCTAAGGCAACTTGAAACAGCGCAAAGAGCTGTAATAAATGGTGTAAGTTATCGTACATGAAAGTGCAACTTTAGCTTCTTATTCTATAGATGAAATATGCAAATATGTCATATCTGGTTCTATGGTACAAAGCTAAACGATAACTGTTCTTTTTATTTAGCTAAGATTTTAAACACCCATTTCTATGCCGGTAATTATCCACTCCCATATCTGGCAGCCACTCCATCATTACTGCTCACCGCGTAGCACCAATACTAGGTTCTTACCAGGAGCAGAATGCAGTAGCTGGCTAACACTGCAGAAGTGATGATCCCCACCATGAACCAGTTCACCCACCACTTTAGTTTTGTGAATCCCTGCCTGATAATAGAACAATAGAGGGCAGCACAATGTTAACAAAATACAGGTCACTGATCTAAACAAAAGAAAAAGGAAAGAAAAGAGAGGATTCTGGGCTTTTGTGCCAGCTTCAATGTGGACCCTGTGTGTGCATGTGTGGGAATTTTTGTGAGCACTCACCAGTTAATATCATCTTGGTCGTTAAAGGTAACCACACAAATATACATCCAGCACAGAGAAAGTAGGGAGACCAGAGTGACAAAGGTAAACCAGGAGCATGCATGCTGAAATGAACAGAACAGGTGGAATAAGTCATTTTGACACTTGAAACCTTTTAGGTTATGCTGTGTGTGCAACATGTGGGTGTTTGATTTTCGTGAAGTTCATAATCTGTGAAGACGGTGGAACAATTCCAGCATTTTTACATAATTGGTTTTGCACACTGTGGCATAACAACTCAATACAAACAAACCCTTTCACCATCAAAAGCACACCTCCACTTTCCTCCCCACTCTCACTTTTGTGCAGAACTACAGCCTGCCAACATGCTCAGGTCCCTTTATAATCCAGTTAAGTCCATTACAAACCTGTTAGGACCTGTAAGTTTGTTTTTCTTGGCACACAAGTACATATTTAGCATTGTAATCGCCACTTTACTTTTACAATATTTTATATTTCCTTCTAGTATGAGAATAGTTTTCTTTTCACTCATTATCTTAAATGCATTTAAAACACACACTAACAGAAAAGTTCATTGGAAAATTATTTCTGAATTCAGTCAGGTGGACTGTTAAGACCTGATAACATGGATTTGTAAAGTTTATTTTATTTGGTGTATGTTTGTACAATGAAATGAAAACTGAAATCAAATAATTTAGAAAATGATTTAATAACTATCACACCCTACAATACAGTCTATAGCAGAAAACTAAAACATCTAAGGCTTATCTGAGCTCTATACTGATCATATCAAATATACACAAATGTTGCTGACGATACTCACTTTACTCCTATTTTCACTCAAGCCAATCCAGTGGCAGCTATACAAGCCCCTGCTGCAAAGTCTGCAGCAGCTGTTGCCTGTCATCACTTCAATTCCTCATTCACAGTGCACAGATCCCATACAGTCCACTCTGGGCACAGCTTGGAGAAGGATGGACAGAGCCCAGATGAATACTTTCTCTGGATACCGAGGAGAGGCCTGATCTCATTCCACTAAACCTATAGCATGTTGGAGGAGAAAAAAAAAACAATTGTGATGGAAAGCAAATGAGGGAAGGGAGAAAGAGTTTCTTTGGGTATTAAGGCAAACCCTGCTCAATAACCCCCTCAATAGAGCCTGTGTGCAAAGGGGGTCTAGTTGCTGGGAACACTTACAATGGCCAGCACCATGGGGTATTGAAAGAAGTGCACAGACCAGTCTCAGAGCGAAGTCACACTGTTCAAGCCCTTGCATCACAAACAGCCACAGTGACAGGCACGTCCATGCACAGAGAGGGGATGAAGGAAATGAAATCAGTTTAACTAAGGAACAAACATTTCACATACTAACGACCTGAAGGATACTCCTGGACGTGAATAATAACTGGAGTTTATAGATGTTTAAGTTGCTAGAGATGTACAAGTTGATAGGCAGTAGCCCAGAATGGGTCATAGCAAGACTATAGGTAACATGCTGGGGCCTGTTATTTTACAGCTGTGCCAGGTTTCAGTTTATCTGATAACAAAGGACATGGGAAACTACACACATTATTTGTCCCCATACGGAAGAGACACACTAAACAACAAAAGTGTCTATTGTGAAACGACTTGTTTCTTGTTAGACTTGATTTGAGCCTTTCCCAACTCATCTGGATTGCTCATTTTATTTCAGATCCCTCAGGTTATTAAGTAAAAGTTTTCAATAGATCACTTGTTGAGTTACCACTTGAAATGTCTCTATAGAACAAAATGACATCCTACCACAACATTAATATCTTCCTTAAATAATTGGGAGATTACCACAATAACAGCTGGTTTGGCAGGTCTAAATGTCACTGACATGAAATACAAGAAGTACTGTTTTACTTTACAAAAGGAGAGCAGGAAGTTTTAAGTCTCAAATGACTATTGAGTAACAGCCATATGCAAGCAGCCACACATTTAAGGAGTGACAAGTAAAAGGTTCTTGTTGCAATAAAAGAATAAACATTTGTTTAACTGCCATAAAGCAGTGTTCCTTTAGCTGAAAGACATCTTTGTTTATTTCTCTAATGATACTTTAATTTCTGCTCTCATTTCCTACCTCATACATTAGCAACCTTAAAAAAAATGATTTAAAGTACAATATCATTTCTTACAGCTTAACTTTACATATATTATAGCCGCAGCACACTGTGATACCCGCAGTCACGCCTTGTCAATTAGCATTTCACTTTCTGCAGACTGGCAATGTAAACTGTAATTACGCGCAAATTGACGAGAGATGAAATGGGCACATAAATTCTCTTTAACGATGGACATTTATGCACCAATAAATACGTCTGCTGGACGAGTAAAAACTAAACACTCAAACTGATGCTTAATGTTTAGCAGAACTTCCCATCGGACGAAGAATATTTTGGTCTGCTGCTTTATTTTATTTATGCCCTATTTTGTGTTGTGAATACAACAAATGAACATATTTATACAATTTACATTATATGTATATAAGTGAAAATAGCGCTAAAGAAAACATTATCACAAAAACCCAGCTTTTATTCTGACTTACCTCAGCAACAAAAATAAACCCTTCTTCTGTCACGAAAATAAGTTTCCAACGCACACCATGGACGTCGTCTTTATTAAATTGATCACATATTTGCTCATTGCTGCTTCTTCAGCTGTGTTTTAATTATGACTCAAGGGCAATTGGTCAGTGCCAGTCACATGGCGTACAAGCGAGACCATTACACAACTTCATAATAACAAATCAACGTTATACAAAAAAAAAGGTCTAAAGTATTTGAGATATTTTTGTGATACTTGAAGAGTCCTGCCCAACCGAAGAGATAAATGTATAGGTCTGGTGGGTTCAGGGTCTTTTCATCTTACATCTGCCTGCGAGCAGTTTGGAGGTGCAAGATACCTGAGCGTGTAGTGTTAATTTTACCTGTGATCCTTTGAATAAATCAGCACTGTTTTGAAGTTACTTGGACTTTCTCGTCTCTCAGAGTTAGCAATGGTAACAAGAACCAAAGACCAACAAATGTTACCAATACAATTTTCACAAAACACCGAACAAATTCAGTGTAACAAACTAATAAGGGCTAAGTCCTATACACTTTAACCGGAAGTTAGAATGCCACTATAAATTTAGCACCTTAGTTTTTTCGTTTTTCTATTCTTCTCTATTCTTGTTCGTCCTTTCTTCCATTTGCTTTGCCGTTTATTATGTTCAGTGAAGCCATTACATTGTGAATAGATGTTGAACTGAAAGCCTGATGTGATAGACCGTTAAGCTTAAACCTCTCAGCTTTAGGCCAGTAGGAGAAAATGGAATGCTCCTGTCTACAGTATCTCTTAATTAAAAATGACATTCTTTACATTTAGGGAACACACTCAATTTATTTAACCACTTACCAGCGCGAAGGTTGAGGTGCACGACCAAAGTTTCTTATCCTTTGTCAAAACGTTCCTGAACATCAGCAAAAAGGAGAATAAAGTAGTCCAAATATATATCTTACTGGTTTAACTAATAGCCTACCTATCTATATCTGCAAAATCTAATAAATCCAAAATGACTTACCGTAAAGTGCACCTTTACATTTTCCGTGTAGTCAAACCAGTGACACAGTGCTCGGGAAACCCAGTATTTGTCCCTGCTCTCCCTCTGTCACATCCTTTTCACTTTCTGTCAGAGTCACTATGAACGGCGCCACTGGATGAACGGGGCGTGGCCTAATATGAGGGCGGGGCCAATCAGTTCATCTCAGGTAACCATCAAAGTCAAACTTGTCGCCTATAGGTAGAAAATGACCTGCATCCAGTACCGACATCTCTGTAAAACAGGCCTAGATGTTATAAGGAGAGAAAATCAAAGTCACGTTAAATAAAACATTAAAACAGCCAAACTTTATTTTTAAAATGTAGATATAATATCTAAATGGAGACAACTTGACCCACTGAAACACTTTCTTGACATATAACTTTGGCCCTTATAATACCCTAAAAACCTAATATATGTAGGTTTATATTCCGTTTTATTACTGTGAATTGTGTTTAAATGTTTTCCCTTGTATTCTAGCAGATTTAAAAAGCCTAGTAGTTTTCAAACTGTCCGATTCCTCTCACTTTAACCATGTCGTGGTCCATGCTGGTTAGTTGTTGAAAAGTCCTACAGAAGTGGGACTTTACAAACCAAATTATTTCAAGCTTCATATGTCAACACCATAAATGGAATTCCTAGATTATTCATTGTTGTTAACCACATTAATTATGGGAGAATATATACATCATATGATTTCCAGTGAATTAAGATACAGATATTCTTTCCCTGTTGGGTATGTTTAGTTCTGTTAGTTAAGTTTATGATCTTGTATGATGTGAGGTCTTATCCCGACGTTCATGCGTGTATGCATGTCCTATGTTCTGATAACATGTAGGTTTAAGAACTCTCTGTGTAGAGCTGTTTCTTCAGTATAATTTGACATGCACACTTGTAGCTACACTTCATGCTCACTGGCTAGAATAAATACAATATATTTAAGAAGTCAACTGTGACTGTGCAATTTTGTCTTTAGAACCTGACGTTTTCCACTTCATTAATCTAATGTTTCATTTTGAGTGTACCAAGAACTACAATATGAAGTGCCATGTTTATACATTAGTCCAGGGGATAGAAAACTAAGAGTCCATTTGACCTTAAATAAAGCAGAGGTGGGTTTATTTCTCATGGCTGCTGCTCAGGGTGTGACTACAGAGTTACTGACTGAAGACCAAAGAGAATACACAGTGAGTCTTTATCTTTATGAGAATGAATGTAACTAATCTCCTAGGGAGCTGCCCAGTTCATGTTAGAAACTGAGACTGAACTGTGAGACGTAGCCAAGGGGCATCATTCATTCTGTGAATCCTGCATTAATGAACTGCTTGTCATATATCATTTAACTGAAGATCTCCATTAAAGCATTTGATGATACTTTAGTACTATACAGCTACAATGCCTGAAAGTTTTTCATAGCGTTTTAACTTGTGCCTGTGCATCTCCCCTATGTGGTTTTCATACCTGCCGGTGAAATGTGGGTTTTGTTTCAGTCACCTGTGGTATGAGACTCGCTCAGACTTGAAACCTGTTTGGAAAAGCCCCATCATGCCGAACATGATTTACTTGTGTCCAAGAGACTGAGTCATGAATCAGACACGTCAAACAATTGCCACTTATAATTGAATTATACGCCACAATTTTACTTTGAGAATATTAAATGCAGCCATGCTGGATTGTTTGAAGCATTATAGTAATAAGACCAAACACATACAGTATCAAGTCTAAGCAAAATGAGACTGTCCTGCTGGATTCGTTCAGTTGAGCTATAAGCATATTGGTACATTTGGCTATCTTCAACTGCAAACGGGTAGGCAAGTACATGTGGGCTGCTGCACAGCAGTGATGTTTGGTGCACTATAGTTCAGTTACAAATGCTAAAAGAATGAC